GTAGAGACTTAAGTAGGATTTTTGTCACACTAAAAATACTTCCGTTGAAGCAACATGTTTTTAACTTCTTCCAGAAGCCCAGACATAAGAGAAGCTCAATAAAGGTATGTTAAGTTAGCAAAAGTGTTATTATATGTATATGTGTGAAAAACATGATCAGTTTGGATTTATATTTGGGGATTGCAATACCTGGATATCAGACCTTTCAGGAAGGTAAGCACCTTGGCTGGGGCCAAGAAAGAAAAAAGGGATGTTCAACAAATATGTAGGCACTATGGAGCACTCCGTGAGCATCAGGCAGCAATCGGGGCTCCAGGGTTATAAAGAATCCACGTCTCCGGTGTGCACAGAGCAGGTAAGGCTGTCACCCCCACCAGGGAGTCAAAGCCAGATCAAGACATTTGACTCCCAGAGTTGAAAATTGCAGTGTTCCTTCCCCTTGAACAATGCCTTTCAAATGCTGACAGGGCTCACAGCAAAACAATACATTCAGCAGCTCTACCTGGTACAGATACACACATTTCTGATCTTTTCTACTTAACTCTATTGAATTTTACTTTTTAAAAATGTTCATCTTGACACACTAAATTGGTTTATGACTCAATCGAAGTGGAAAAATACTGCTCTAGTATATTTTTTACATTTCTCTAGAATTTCAAGGTCAGATATAATTCCAAACATTTTTTTCCCCTCACAGGGTGGATTTGTATCCCAGTAAAAAACACTATCAAATAATCAACCCACATAGACTAACATAGAGCCATGACAGCTGTCACTTGGGGAGTAGGAGGAAGCTAAACCTAATCTCCATCAGCTTTCTCTAAAACCATCCAAGTAAATACCCACTTGAAGAGAAACAGCATTTGCTAAGCAAAAATAGTTCGGTGGCAAGTGCCCTAGCAACCCCAGCTCCCTTTCAGCTAGACCAGTGGTCGGCAAACTGCGGCTCTTGAGCCGCATGTGGCTCACGGGTTTTGGTTTCCCTCTGTTGACTAATGACCACTAAGCTAGACTATGGCCCAAAAGACTCATCCCATATAGAAACTCTGGTGTGTCCAGTTACAATGAATATTTTTTAAACAATTTTGTGTAAGAGACTTTAATTAAATGTGTTTGGATGGGGAACAATGAATTTATTAAAATACGTGAATGAGAATCAAAATAAGCTGTTTTAAATAAATACATTTTGTTTTTAAAAATTCTCTCTGAAATTTGCCAATGTTCACTCAAGTTAATGGGAGAGACGTGTACTGATTTGCCACAGATCTGCATTTTAAAGCAGGAAGAAGTGGACCCTTCATTAAGCTAGGACCTCTTTTGGTGTGCCCTTGAAATTAGAGCAAAAGCAGTGTCCGTGTTTTCCTCAACGTGAGGTATTTCTACAGCCCTTCCCACTAAAGGAAAGGCAGTACCAACGGGCGTCACTACTTAGTCTCAAGCTAAGTAGTGACTTAGCTTATGAGCAAAACAAACCCCAGTGTCTTCAGAGATCTTTCAAGAACAGTGTTCCCTCATGCCCTGGCCTGGAAGCACAGGTGGTTAGTGATGCCCAGTTGGTAGGGGCACATGCCTGGGTTGCAGGCTACATCCCTGGTGGGGATGGCCGATCCCTGGTGTTTCTCTCTCTCTCTCTCCCTCTCTCTCTCTCTCTCTCTCTCTCTCTCTCTCTCGCTCTCGCTCTCGCTCTCTCTCCCCCCTCCCCTTCTCTAAAAATATAATAAAAAAATAAATGTAAATAAACAAATAAATAAAACTGTGTTCCCCTAACAAGTCAGAAACCAGCAGAAAGGCCAGAAAACCCCTTTCCATCTTCTTTGTCTTCTTCAACTCTGAGAACTCAAATGAGATACAAAATTGTTCCTTCAACTTCATTTCCCAGCCAAGAAGCCTGTCTGAGTTTAAAGGACACAGTTCAGTGACAATTGCCTCAAATTAAAAGATAATTGTATAAAACTTGAATAAATCTTCGGGCCTTTCCTAAAAGAAACCTATTGAGAACTATGTCTAGAAAGTATTCTTTATAAAAATAAAATGCCTTTTTCCTAAGAAAAAGGAGAAAGCCATGCTGACTATTCATTAGCTCTGTCCAACAAAGCTTTCTGTGATGATGCAAACGTTATACACCTGCAGTGTCCGATACAATAGCCATTAGACACCTAGTATGCAGCACTTGAAATGTGGTTGGTGTGACTGAGAAACTTAATTTTAAACTTTATTTCATTTTAATTAATTGAATTTAGATAGCCACAGAGACTAGAAGCTACCATATAGGGCAGTGTAGGATTGACAAGCAACATAAGCTGTGTAATCGACTTGTCTTAGACAGAATGCCACACTTTGGGAAAAAAAAAATGATACTCTAAACCAATATTCACTTTTCAGTTTCCTAATTAATATTTAATTAATTCATATTTAAGGTTTCCTCGGAAGTGGTTTTTCGACAAAGTTTGGCAATTTTTATTCTACAACATGAACAGACTAGACCTGCTGAGGAGAATTCCTTTAACAGGGTTCAATTTTCCATCTGTGAAATTTCAGCAGAGTTTCAGAAAGGTGTGGGAAACAAAACTTAAGTCCGTCCTCTTGATACAAAAGAAAGAAATGAAACATAAATTCATACAAAGGTTATTATGACCTCCTAGACTAGTGATTTTCAACCAGTGTGCACTAGACTAGTGATTTTCAACCAGTGTGCAAGCGAGGGCAGGCACATTGGTGTGCCACAAGAATTTTTACAACATGCAATAGCCGACTATTTAGTTAGGGGCAATGACTTTTTTTCCCTTATATTGTCAAATTTAAGAAATGACAACAATAGCTGTCCAATGTGAATAAGTAAAAATTATATCTTTTTTTTGTTTATCAGATTGGCAAAAACACACACACTAAAACATTTTTTGGTGTGCTGCAGAATTTTAGTAATTAGTTTATGTGTGCCATGAGATGGCAAAGGTTGAAAATTGCTGTCCTAGTTGCTTTTATGGATACATCTGCCCATCAATCCCTGCTTGTGTGTGCTTTAGCCCCAGATGCAGCTTTCAATGAATGTCATTCCTACATTTGTTTGACCTCTGAACTGTGCTGTTATGATCAAACCATGGCCAGACCCTCTAAAAGTATTCTATCTATAGAAAAACCATTTATAATAAGCACACTAAAATATTTTACTCTTATATGAGACAAAATGACCAAATGGTCAAAATGCAGTAGCCTGAAGAGAGCAAATGCTTCAGAGAGACTAAAATATGCAGATCATGTCAAGACCAAGCAGGTGGCCAAAGAAACTGCAGTTCCATAGACAGCAAGGAAGAGACACCCCAAGCAAATATGCTTAAAAATACACTGCAGCCCAACTGTGGCCATGGGATAACTGACTCAAACTTCGAGCAGCATTACAACTGCACTCCTTACAATCTCAAGGTCAATGACAATTTTTTTTTTCAGTTTCTCATCATGCTAACACTTATACACAAATATACCGCACACACAAGCACAAGCATTTCAATAATTTCATCGTGTTTAAGTAGAATGAACGTCTAGAGTTTACATCTAAAAACACGATCAATTCATTTTAAAAAAGCAACTGAAGTATATCATACAAAGAACAAAGCCACTAGTAGCACATAGGATATCTGGGGAAGCACAAACTCTATACAGCAAAGCCATTCTAGAACAGCAGTGCGGCTCAGGTAAATATTCAGCACTACAGATGAGAACTTCATTTTTTGTCTATCGTCCCTACTGCTACCACGAGGTCCTATAAAAGCTTACCTGCTACATCCAAAAAGCATTAGGATCTCAACAGAACACATGACAAGGAAGCAATGCATGCAATAAATACCCAGGGACTTTGGGGTTTCCAGGACCATAAATGGCATTGCCAGGATGAGAAAAGGCCTCATCTGGGGCAACTGAGAGCACTCTGACCTAGCAGGAGTCTGCCAGACTCCATAAAAGCTGGGTGCTCAGTCCTTTTCTCACATGTCTAAGACAAAATCTGCAGGTGCAGCCTGGGCAGGAAAGGAGACGACAGAGCATTTAAAATGGGGAACAGCTGTGCTGTTGGAGCCTGAGAGCACCTTCCTCACTCTTCTAAGATTCTTCCAGATCCCACTGACCCACACCATCTACAGGAGCCCATCAGTTATAAAAATCTAAAAGCCTCAATAGTCTGAGACAAGTGCTAAGAAACCTCAAAGCTTTTTGTCATCATTAGGGGGAAGAAACTGCAATTAACATACTATACAATCCAGAATTTTCATCAGTGAGGCACAAGTTCTCAAAGCACATAAGAAAGGCCTCAAAACAGAAAACCAAGCCTACTTCCCATCTAGTTCTCGAAAAGTCTACTTCATAACAGCACTGGCCCTGCTTCCCAAAATGTAAAGGCAGAAATGAAAATGTGCTTATTTTTTTTCATTCAGAAGATAAATGAGCTTAACATAAGTTAACCTTAATCTTTACATTTAATATTCTAATACAGATGTATGAGCTAAAACAGAGATTCTAGGAAGCATAAGAAACATACATAACAGTCATTTTTCTGTTTGGCTTAAAATATGAACAGTACAATATTACATTAAATGAAAAAAAAAACATTAAATTATCTTCATGCAAATATAGCTCAGTCCTTTTCCTAAATGCCCACTGTTTATGAGCTAAATATCTTCCCTCTTCATATGATAAGCCTTCCAATGCTCTATTAACCCACTCCTATTTCTCTGAGAAAGCTTTCGCAGACCGGTTTTACTAAATGTCAATCCCATAAATAACATGTCATTGAAGGAATTCATCAACCTATAGTTATGAAATTATACTTCTGAAAACATCCTTATTAATTGTGATTCTAAAGAGAGAAAAAAACCCTCATGATTATGTTTTCTACTTATTTTTCAATAGTCAAAGCATATAAAAACCTTGTCCACCCAAAGTATAACATGTATATATTTAATCATGGCCCCTGAATGAAGCAAGAACATGACATACGTTCTCACGCTTACCTGTATACCCGGCATACCATCCCCAGGAAGCCACCATGCCCAGGAGCCATTTGTACATGATCCCTTCGATGTACCAGAAGCTCTTCCTGTCCAGCACGCGGAGGGGCTGGAGCACGATCACATAGAAGACGTAGGATGAAATTGCAACCAGGTTGTTGGCAACCATGAAGGCAAACCTCATCAGGGCTTTCACCAGGATCCAGCCCAGCCATGGAGCTTGTTCCAAAGTCACAGCCATTCTCACATGGGAGTCCGTCCTGTCTTTCTGGGGTGAAAGGGGAAAAAAAAAATGCATTAAAAAAAAAAGGCACATCTACCTAAGTCCCACCAACATAAGAAATCGTCTCCGGCACAAAAATAACAAAAAAGAGAAGCAGGGATCTAAGTTACCTCCGGTGATCTCTCCGGGAAATTCCAGAGGGGGGACAGAGAGAGAGAGGGAGAGAGAGGGAGGAGGAGCCGCACAAGGTCAAGGGAGCTGTGCACGGAGGCGCCGGGTATGTCACAATACACTGAGCGAAGGGGAATGCCGCCGAACAGCCCCACTGGCTTCAGACACCCCTGGGTGTCTCCAAAACCGAGGACACGAGGGGCCAGAAGGCTGACACCCCCTCAATCAGATCGCCCAGATCCCCGGGAACCTGGTACCCCCTCCTCTCCAGTCCCATTCATGCACAGATTCAGTCCTGCCCAAGGTCCCTCGCGTTAGCAACACCAGTTCCGCTAAAAAAAAAAAAAAATAAATAAATAAAAAATAAAAATATTTTTAAAATGCTCCTTGGCGCAAAGGGGGCTTTTGTTTTCCTGGTTAAGAAAGGGGGAGAAGGGGATTACCCAGAAAAGGACAGAAAGGTGAGAGGAAGAAAGGGGGTTACTCATAAAGCGGAAAGGAGGAAGGACGGGAAGAGGAGGAGGAGGGGAATGGGGGGCCACAGCCAGGAGGAGGCTAAGGCGAGGGGACAGGGATGAAGGGGATGAAGCCGCCTGCGAGCGGAGCGGGCCGGGAGCCGGGGAGGATGTGAGAAACGGGAGCTGGGGCGGCTGCGCCCGGCCGGCCGGCGGGTGGAGCCGCAGCGGTTTCCGCGGGCGGGGACGGGGACGGGGACGGGGTCGGGGTCGGGGTCGGGGTCGGGGACGGGGACAGGGACGCGGTCGGGGAGGGGGACGGGGACCCGGTCGGGGCGGCGGGGGCGGCCGGCTCACCTCGGCGTGCGCGGCCGGCGGGCGCGGGGGCGCGCGGGGCCGGGCACCGGCGTTGGCGGCGGCGGCGGCGTGTGTCCCCGGACGAGGGGTCGCGGTCATGGACACGGCGGCGGCGGCCCCGGCGCGGCGCGAGCGGGCGCCCTAATGCCCTGGCGGCTGCCTGCGGACAGAGGGACACGGCGGGGACTCAGAGGCCGGACCTGTCACCGGGGCGGGTCCCGGGGCGGCGGGCGGGCGGGCGGACGCCCCGCGCTCCCGCCTCCTCCTCGGGGCCTACCGCGCCCTGAGTCCCTCGTGCCGCCGCCGCCGCCGCCGCCTCCCCGCCGCACGACACCCCTTCTCTCTCGCCGCCCTCCCCTGGCCCGGCGCCGCCGCCGCAGCCCCGGGCCTGCCCCGCCGAGCCCGGTTACCTCGGGCCGGCCGAGCCCCCACGCGGGCTGCGGGCGCCGCGGGAGCCGGAAGAATGCATGGCCGGCGGCGCGGCCGGCGGAAGGAGGCGGCGGCGGCGGCGCGGAGCCTCGGTCCCCGCGGCCCGATCGCGCTCGCCGGCTGGCGGGGAGGGAGGGAAGGAGGCGGGAGGAAGCGGCGGGAGCCGGACTGCGGCGCCTCCTCCTCCTCCTCCTCCGCCGCCGCCGCCCCCAGAGCGCCCCCTAATGAAGGCGCCGCCGCCGCCCCCCGAGCCCGCCGGCCCCAGGGTCAAGGCCCGCGGGGCTGCCTGGCCTCAGGCCGAGGCCGGGACGGAGGAGAAGGAAGGAGCCCCGCTCAGCCCGGCCCGCCGCCGCCGCCCATTGTTAGGGCTCCTCGCACCGCGGCCCCGGCCCAGCCTGGAGGAGGGAGGCTGTCTGTCTCCTTGGGGAGGGGACGCGCCCCCCCTCCCCTCTCTCTCTCTCTCTCTCTCTCCTCGGGCCTAAGGGAAACCCAAGGGCTCTCGGGGCTTTTCTGCTGATCCTCTCCAGACGATGAAGGTTTAGAGTTTTAAAATCAATGTGTTCCCAGTGCCAGAATCCTTGTTTCTGGAAAGCACCCCGAAACACAACTGCCATTCGCCATTCATCCTCCCATCCCCGCCCGCCCGCCCAGAAAAAAGGAATTCACGGGAATGAGGAGGCTCCACAGAGACACGAACATGCGAACATGCCGTTAGCCGGGGAGGGAGCAGCCCTCAGGCAGCGCCTGCCATTAAGCCATCAACATGCTGGGCCACAGGTACCCCCTGGACAGGTGGCCCCGGCCGCCTTCTGTGTCCAGGCTGGGCCGCCCGAAGGGACTCAGAGAACTAGCCCGCAGACCTGCCCACCGGGACATTCGCCCATGGCCTATCTTTCAGTTAAAAAATAAACAAAAAATAAACGTGTGGCCCTGACCAGCGTGTCTCAGTGGCGGAGCGTTGACCTATGAACCAGAAAGTCGTGGTTCATTTCCCCTCAGGACACCTGCCCAAGTTGGGGGCTCGTCCCCCAATAGGGGGCGTGGGAGAGGCAGCAGTCAATGATTCTTATCGTTGATGTTTATCTCACCCCCTCTCTTCCTCTCTGAAATCAATAAAAAAGTATTTTTAAATAAGTAAATAAACGTATAAAAGTTTGTTGCAGCCTGCAGTCACATTTGTGTGTGTGTTTTTTTTAATATGTTTTATTGATCACAGAGAGGAAGGGAGAGGGAAAGAGAGTTGGAAACATCAATGAGAGAGAAACATCAACCAGCTGCCTCCTGCACACCCCCTGCTGGGGATGTGCCCACAACCAAGGTACATGCCCTTGACCAGAACCGAACCTGGGGCTTTTCAGTCTGCAGGCCAACACTCTATCCACTGAGCCAAGCCAATTAGGGCCTGCAGCCACATTTGTAAAGGAGGAAGGGGGCAGGTTTTACAATTTCCTAGGGAACTGTCATATTTAAATCAAATGTCACCCATCCTGCCTACTTTGAAAACGTTTGTCACTGTGTTTGCTTTGGGTTCTCAACTATTTCTCTCTGTAGCTTCAGTTCTCTTTGGCGAGGGAAAGAAAATTCACCTTATGCTATCTGAAAAAAAACCACTTTCCATTTCCATTCCCTTTGGAAATGAAGAAATACATGAAAGCACAGAGCCTAGCTGCAGTAATTTACTAGATGCCTTTCCATTTATTATTATTTATTTGTATATGTTATTGCTCTATTTCACTAATATTATATTTACTGTACAGGGCTTAAAAAATCACCAGGCCCTGTCAGAGAAATTTCCATGTAAGTTCTACTGATGGATAGCAAACGTTAGATATGCTGTTTCTATTGCCTGTACTCCCTCTGAGAATTTAGGTGCCGAGGTAATATCATCTTTTAAATAAAGTTCATGATAGGAATATTATATATACTATAGATTATTATTTAAAAAGATAGGCGAGGCACATATTTTTTCTAAGAACCAAGAGTAAACTCCCCTAAAGATTCCATTTGGTCCATCCTATCCAGCATTCTCCACATGCTGATAAACACTGGCTGACACCTGCAGAGATATAATCTGCAGTGGAATGTATACCTGGTTCCTGGACCACAGAGCGTCTGCCAGAGGGCCAGGCACACTAGCACTTGCTGAGATGGAATTAGTGCCAGCCAGGTAGGCCCAGGAAAGAGCCAGAGGTTGGGCAGGACCTTGCACAGTAGGTCTCACGCACACTTTAGTGTGGAGAAAAAAAAATCACTTGGGGTGTCTTATTGAAAAGACAGATTCTTGGGCTTCATCTTAAAACTCAAGGTCCAGAGGGGCCTGGAGACCTGCTTTTTAAAAAAGCATCATAGGTGTTTTTTTTGTTTGTTTTTGTTTTTTAAATATATGTTTTATTGATTTTTCACAAAGAAGAAGAGAGAGGAATAGAGAGTTAGAAACATCGATGAGAGAGAAACATGGATCAGCTGCCTCTTGCACACCTCCTACTGGGGATGTGCCCGCAACCAAGGTACATGCCCTTGACTGGAATTGAACCCGGGACCCTTCAGTCCGCAGGCCGACGCTCTATCCACTGAGCCAAACCGGTTTCGGCATCATAGGTGTTTTTGATATAGGTAGTATACAGATGCTACTTTAAGAAACCCTGACCTGAGGGTATCTTGAGATAATCACATCCTTTTCTAGACCCTTCATAATTCCTTACCATTTGTCCCTATCTGTTCTCATCTGTCCATATCTTAGTTTTCTAGGGCTACCATCACAAAATAGCATGGGCTGGGTGACTTAAACAACAGAAACTTGTTTTCTCACAGTTCTGAAGGCTAGAAGTCTGAGATCAAGGTGTTGGGAGGGTAGTTTCTCCTGACACCTCTCTCATTGGCTTGTCGGTGATCATCTTCTCCATCTCTGTGTGTGCATGTGCCCGGTGTTGGTCTCTCTCTCTGTGTTCTAATCTCTCTTTATAAGAACGCCAGTCACATTGGACAAGGACCCACTCTAATGGCCCCATAGCATTTAGTTGAGTGCCTTTGTCAAGGCCCTATTTCCAAAGGTAGTCACATTCTGAGCTACTTGAGGGTGAGGACTTCAATATATAAATTTTAGGGGGACAAATTCACCCATAACATAATCCTACTGTTTAGGCTGCAGTCTTTGCCATTTAAGTAGGTCCTGATAGAAGGGACATAGAAGCCCTAATTTTGATTATTTCAGCTATTTTCTTGACTGGCTCCAACCTCATTAGACTTTTCTGAAAGCGAAGCAAAAAAAGAGCAAGACATTGTGTTCCAAATGTAGATATGTTTTTGTTTTTGTTTTGTTTTTTTCTTTCCCCTGGGAGAATGAGGGGGATTATCTTTTTAACTTCCTTTTACCACTGGGGCACATTCAGTTTCAAGATAATTCAGTACCTACAATGAAAAAGAAACGGCACTGGGGCTAACTTCTTCAGGGAACAACATCACAAGCAGCTTAGTATATGTATTCGGTTTATATTTTTTTGCCCTCGCCCCACGTAAGCCGCCTCCTGAGGTTGTTTCCTACAGCTTACTTCTACAACACTTCAGGCAGGCCATGTGAATGCTCTGATGGACTGGAGCAGGAAGATTGGCCAGGCCGGTTCTTCAGGGTACACAATATGTAGAAAGCAAGGACTTCCCCTCAATGACTAAGCAGCTTCGAGTCCCCTAATCTTGCTACCTTAGAGCCATGTTTACCAAAACACCAACATTAATTAAGTCAAGAAATTCACTTAACACCCTAATAGGAGGAAAAGGAAAACAGACTCCTCCACACCCTATAGCGACAGGTGTTATAGTTTCAGTTTCAAAAGCCCACGTTTGAACCACAAAAGGACGGTCCTTTGAAAAAGAAATGCGCCCTCTCACATTTCCTTGGATTCTCCAGACATTTTAAAACAATCTAACCACCACACCTTAGCAGGGTTAATTCCACCCATCTGGTCCACAGGCACACAACAAATTAAATTGTAACAAGGGAGGAGCTCTCCAGGGCAGAGAAAGAACCCCTGGGCCCTCTCTTACTCCTAGTGGCAATTATAAAAACATTTACCTGCCTGGGCTGGTGTCTGCAGTAAAGCTCCAGTGAACTATGTCCCCTCTCGGGGGAAACCCCATCAGCAGGGCTGTAAATGTGCAATGATTTGGCACAGGCGCCCCACATCATAGAAACAGTTACCACCTAGAAATGAGCACCCCAAGCACTAACGGTTTGGCTCAGTGGATAACACGTCGGCCTGTCGACTGAAGGGTCGCAGGTTTCATACCTTGGTTGTAGGCATATCCCTAGCAGGGGCTGTGCAGGAGGCAGCTGATTGTTGTTTCTCATCCATGTTTCTAACTCTCTATTCTCCTCCCTTTCTCTCTGTAAAAAATCACTAAAATATATATATTTTTTAAAAATTAGCATCCCAAGAGAATCATGAATTCCATTGTCAGCTTTAACTTCAAACAAAAAGGGAAATAGATACGTAAACATTATATATATTAAACTGTTTTTTTCTTGTATGTTAGTATCAGTAAACATTTTATATAAAATGTATTAGGGCTCATAACCTTAATATTTTTTAGACAAATTGGGCCAAACAATTATGGCTTGACTGCAGTTTTACTTAATTTGTTGTTGTTGTTAACCCTCACCAGGGGATATTTTTCCCATTTATTTTTAGAGAAACTGGAAGGGAGGGAGGGAGAGAAAGATAAATACCGATGTGAGAGAGACACATTGATTGTTTGTCTCCAACACATGCCCTGAGATCGAACCCACAACCCAGACACATGCTCTTGACTGGAATCGAACCCTACACTGTGGGTGCACGGGCCGACGCTCTACCACTGAGCCACTATGGCCAGAGCAGACTGCAGGTTTATTTAAACCATTTCAGCAACTTTTCATTAACAAGGTTTACCCTAAGCAATATTAAATCAACTCTAATTTTATTAAATGTTAAATACTCTCTCTTCTCTGGGCCGTTCTCCTCTTCAACTCATTTCCCCTTTCCCCTTCTTAATACCAAAATGATCCCTCGTTCTCAAAGCGAAGACTCCACCCTCCCAATAGACAACCTTCTAAGCTAGAATCTT